CAATAAGACAAATGCACAGGCCATCCACAGACTAATATACATCTTTTGGCAGGCACCACTCCCCACAGGCTTGTCTGTCTGTTGCTGCCTACTGTATGGCTTCCACCGCAGAAATGATGTGATAACACTAAAACCAATTTGGCACTTTCCACATGAGAGGACGAGTGTATTCCCCACCCTGGAAATGCAGCCTCCAGCTGTCTTGCCCTATGCCAGAGGTTTCTTAATACACTGGAATTAGCTGACTAAGAGATGCAGCAAACTAACAGAGCATTTGCTATCTGTTCAGGCTGCCTAAGCTTTCCATCAAATAAACTTTGGCTTGATTCTCAGCCCTTTGGGAATGGTTGCCCACAGCTAACATTTGCTACCCCAAATAACCCTGTGGTGACCTTTACTGCAAAGCTGCAGCCAAGAAAAACCCTGTTTAACATAACAGTGCACATCTTAGCACATCAACTTGAACCATCCTGACCTCTGAGCTGCCAGGGTCTGTACAAATTAATTTTAACAATAGACAGTGTTGAAAGGAAGGAATGTTTCAAAGGAATTAGAAAAGTCTCCCTTATCCATCTCTTCTCATTTAAGAAATAGTCAGGAGGCCTACTTTAGAAAAATGAAAAGTGCTCCTTGTTGCAAAACAATGGGCTTTATAAAGGGAGGAGGAACTCTTTAGTTTCTTGCATCTGAGCTTGGCAAGATGAAATTTCCCACAAGTGGGTGCTGCTTCTGGAAAATCAGCCTTTAATTTCCACTGGGGAATTGCCTTTATTTCCTGGGATGCCTCAAAGACACCATTAGGGTTTGCCTTTCTTTTTCATAGCTGCTGCTAAGACTTCTATTAAGCAAATAAGAAAGTCTTCCCTTTTTGCCCACTTCATTGGTTTGTACCTTGCCTCATGTTTTCCAGGGCTTTTGTGTGAATGGCCAGACTGGGAAAGGAAAAAAGCCATTCTCCATGTGGTAGTTGGAACTTAAATCAGTTAATGATTGAAGAAGCCTATCAGAAGGGAGATACATAGGAAAATGAGGTCTTCAGCCTCTGGGGCAAAACAGGCTTATCACTTCTGCTGGAGAGGAAGCTGGGTTGGGTTAAGTCTCCAGTGTTTCCCCCAGGGGTAGACTTATTCCTCTGCTCCTCCTCTGCAGTAGCTTTGACTCCAGCAGTCTGTAAGTAAGGAGATTATTACAGCGGGGGGGTGAAGTTGGAGACAATAAGAAATGCTAATGATAATTTAAAAACTTGTGTAGAATTGCTTTAACAGTTTAAAAGCTGTATGTTAAGCATAGGTAAAAAAGATGAAACTTATCCTGAAGCATCCAGTGGACTTCAGTAATTGCACCCGTGAAACCACCTGTTTTTATTTATTTAGCCAGTGTAATTCGTTGCAATTGTCATTTCTGGTTTCCTACACAAATGCTTTTCTCTTTGCAATTGAGATGTGCTGCTGAAGGCAGCACAGGGCAGGAGTCCAGGGGCATCCCCAGCTGGTGCTGAGGAAGGTACCCCCTGAGCAGCGGAGGGGTCTGCTGCCAGCGGGAGGATGGTGGGGAGCATGTGGAAGTACTGCCCTCTCCTCCCCAACACTTTCAAAGACAGGGACTGTGAGGTGTGAGAAGCTGCAAGCGCTGAGGGGGAGAGGACTGGATGTTTATTGTAGAGGGAGATAAGATAAACTGATATTTCTCTGAAATTCGTGCAGCTTTCGACACACAGCCTTCAAGATCCTGTGAGGTTGTAGAGGTCCTCTTGCAGCTAATACAGTAATGACCTTGAATTTGCTTCCAGCTCAGCTGTACTGCTGGAGGACAAGGCATTTCTTGTGAGCAAAAAACATTAAAGCAGCACAGAGATTTGCCTGCACAGCTCCAGTTTTCAAGAGATTTGAGTATCCTTTCTGAGGCCCCACTTGCAACAAGGAATTGCAGATAAGCTTCTGCAGTAGTTAATGTGTAAAGTTTTTGGATTTATTCTCACTGGTGCCTCTCCTTTTGCTTGTAGTGTTGACAAATATATTGTTGGGTGCTGTTTTTTTGTTTTATGTGGGTATTTTTTTGCTGCACAAAGAAGCTAATCATATGCATGCTAATATGTGCATGCTGACCAAGATGAGTGTGCTTTCATGACATAAGTGTTGTGGAGGGCTTGGGGGGTAGATTTTTGTTTGCTTTAATTTAAAAATAATTAATTCATCTCAGTCCTTTTTCAGATTTTAGGCTGAGTACTGAGTCTTGACTTCCTATGCTGTGGCAGTCTGCTGTGCCAAACATATGATCACAGACAATTAGAGATTTGTAGTCTCACACCTGATTTAGGGCTAAACCTTTCTATTTCTTAGCAACTTCTGGTTATAAGATATAACAAAACTGGGGGGGGAATGAGTAAATTGTAACATTTATAGATTAAATTGTGTCTGGACTTGCTACGTGACTCAGTGCAAAATATTAGTGACCTCTTCCTTTGTGACTTTGGCTTCCTGCAAGCTTATCTGTTAAAAAGATCATGCGAGATGCTTCCATTGCAGATCTTGCAAGAAATGTATATTCAGCAGGAGAAACATCTGACTGAGCAAAGACTAACTTACACAGTGGTTTGGAAGCCACATGTTGAAAAGTGCTGGGGAAACACATCAGGGAAAATGATAAAAAGAGATGAAAGCAGTTCAGATGGGTGAAAAATGCTGATTTTAAAATGCGAACCATCTGAACACTGATGAGTGGGCAGGTTGCAATAACTTCAGGACAGACCTAACTGGCACAACAGCCATATAATGTAAGGCAACTCCCACAGGACATCACCTGCAGTGATTTAATATTGGAAGGTGTGGGAGTGTTGAGGTACTGCAGAGAGCAATCTTGCTGCAGCAGAGTGCAAGTAGGAAATGGGTCAGTTGGAGTAATAGCTTTCTTCCGTGTGGTTTCTGTGAGCTGAGCCAAGCCAAACATATGTGGAGCACTGGGTTATCACAGTCATAATTTTTTTTTCCCCCTGTGTATTAGAAATTGCAATGAAATTTGGTCATCCAAGTGTAACTCTATGAATCCTCCCTCTGGTTGGACCCTGCCTTGAGCCCCAGAGTCAACTGTCTTTGTCAAGATCATTAAAATAGACTGTTTGGAAATGTAATAGTGCAGTCTCACATTCTCAGGAGGTCAGCAGAAACACAGCCTGAGTATCTCTGCTAATACCACCTGCGGTTTGTTCTCGCCTCTGCATTGTGGTGGGTGATTTCCCCATTTGTGCTGAAACAACTGGATGTGTGACCACACTGAAGTGGATAAAGGGGCTGACCCTGACCCAGAAAAAAAAAAAACAAAAACAAAAAACAACAAAAAACCAAGAAAACCCTCTAACATGTATTTCCCTACTGTATCAGTTCCACACACGGGGGTGTTGGCAGCAGCAAAGGCACAGTGCAGGAATGAAGGACAGAAAGAGAACGTCTTACACTGGTGTTACTGCTGGCTTCTTTCTCATGTGAAAACACAGTCTTAGTTACAGCTTCAGTTTAAACTTTGCACTCAGCTTTGATGTACTTTAGCAGCTTGCAGAAAGGTGATAGCGTGTGGTGACTGTGGTTTTGGTCCCTCCTGATGGCCAGGGTGAGCAGGCAGTGTGTTATCACAGGCGTGTAAGCTGTTTGGATGGGATGTGATGAGATGGTGGCTCCTGAGGCGCAGGCTGGTAATGAAATCCAAGCTTACCCCTGCTCCCATTCCCCTTTGCTGATCACAGCTGGCTGGTACAAGTGGCTTTTTTTAAATCCCACCATTAAGTTGCCATCCAAACAAATGGGTTAGAAAGAAAACTCCAGAAGAAGGGGCTTGGCTCATTTTTAATTTGGATCAGGTGAGTGATCTGTCAGTAATTAGTACACTGAGTTACACTCATGATGACTGTGATGCAGGGAGGTGAATGGTAAGGCTTATGGTGGGGATTTGCTTCAGTCAGGCTTGTAACTGATAGTCACACCACTTGATTAAGCAAGTGAGTTCGTGTAAGGGCATAGTGTGCTCGATGGTCTAGCAATGTGGTATGTATTTTCCTTGGAACACAGCCCCCTCAGTCAAACTTTGTTTCATTTGGACCATGCATCCCTCCACTAATGCACAAGCTGTGCAAAACCCCCAGGTATTAATAGGGCACATATTTCCAGGACTAGGTCTTACGTTCTGTACCCACTCCCTTTTTGTAAATCTCAATCTTATCCTAAAGGAATGTATTTAGATAGTTGTGCCACCCATTCTCCTTTTTGGGCAATATAAACCCCCTGACACCTTGATGTGCACAACTCCTTCATGCCACTTCAGTGTGCGTGCAGCATCTGTAGCAGAGGCACAGGAGTTGCTCTTACTCAGCTCTGATACTAGGCAAGAAATGATGCAGCCACTGAGGCTCATTCATACCAGCTGAGGAAGAGGCTCCCCTCTGACCCATTTGTGTGATGCTCTACCCTTCACCCCCTGATGATATGCACAGAACATCATCATTTCCAGGCTGTGGGCAGAGGAGGGCTGCAACGTAGAGCTTGTGCTCCTTGCCTGGTCCCTTTGGAGACAGGCTTGCTCACAGTTCCCCTGCGTGAGGACTTTCAGTGGTAAAGAGAAGACAGCTTCTGTGCATGCAGCCAGGCAGGGGCTTTGCTTTTGCTCTCTTAAGGCTACGCTGGGTATAGCAGAAGCAGGCAGGCACATGATCTCCCCGAAGGCAGGATCCAGTGTTACTTTAGAAACTGGCCACCAGCTTCTTTTGTAGCTAGCAGCTGTCACGGTGTGGTTTCAGCCAAAGTGTGTCACTCCTACAGTGTCTGCGGGCTCTGGAGTGTGTTTCTGCTACTGAATCCTTTGTGCTACTGCCTGGAGATTAATTCTGCACCATCTATCAATATGTGTTAAGATACTTCTGAGTTGTATTTATTTTTTGAACGATTGTTAATAGCATTTGATGTTCTCTACAGGTTTCATTTTCCTTCATCAATACTTCAAGGCACAGAGGAGCTGGTAAAGGCATTGCCATGAAACCTAACTTGAAGCAATGGAAACAACTCATGCTTTTTGGTATCTTTGCATGGGGCCTGCTTTTCTTGGTGATATTCATCTATTTTACAGATAGCAACACTGCTGAACCAGTTCCAAGTTCCTTTTCTTACATTGAAACTAAGAGACTTCTGCCCCTTCAGGGCAAACAGAGAGTCATCATGGGAGCCATTCATGACCCATCATTCTCTGAAACCATTGATGGCAATGAGGTGCTTCTTAATGAAGATCTCCTAGGTACTTTTAAATCGGGGACTGGAAATTCTAAGAAATGGACTGTATTGGAAGAGGCCTTTAGAAATGAAGATGAGTTTTTTCCACCCCAGTTAGGAAGAAAATCAAAAAGTGCTTTCTATCAAGTGAATGATGATTATTTATTTGCTGCTGGTCAGCCTCACTCACTCAACCACCTTCAAGAGATAGAAAAATTCATTTCGGCTGACGTGAATAATCCAAGAGGAAATATTTTACAGAACAACTGGAGCCATCAGAGAAGAATGAGGAGAAGGAGCACAAAGCGTAGGAGAGGCCAGATGCTTGATGAATCTGATGACTGGGATGGGCTGTATTCCACAATGTCGAAATCCTTTCTTTACAAGCTTTGGAAAGGGGATGTCTCTTCCAAGATGCTAAACCCTCGACTGCAGAAGGCGATGAAAGATTATTTGAGTACCAATAAGCACGGGGTGCGGTTCAAGGGGAAGCGAAACTCCAAGTTGACAGGAGACCAGCTATTCTGTGAGCTAAAAGAAAGAGTGAATGTGAAAACAATAGATGGCAAGGAGGCTCCCTTCTCCACTCTTGGATGGGAAAAGCACGTTCCCCAAATTCCACTGGTCAAATTATATACACATGGCTTTGGGAGCTGTGCAGTAGTTATGTCTGCTGGTGCAATACTGAACTCCTCTCTAGGGGATGAAATAGGTGGGTGAAATGCATCTATTTGTGTGTGTATATATACGTAGATGTGCATGTTCATGTTTAAACTTCAAAAGGTTCATGTTTCTCAAGCACAGATTTGTAAAGTCTGGTTGTTCTCTCTCACTAGAGTTACATGAATGTAAACTAATGGACTTCAGTGAGGCTGTTCCCTTTCAGAACAATATAACTGAGAGGAAAATCAGGCCTGCTGTCATAATCTAATTTAAAGAAAACAATGATGCTTTCTTATCATATTATAGCTTGTAGTAGGGAGCAGAACTGGTTACATCAGATCTGCCATATTCAACATTTGTGTGCAACATGTGTTTATTTCTTCAGCAGATTAGAGCTATGTTCAGGTTTTATTCTGCAAAGCTGTGTTATACTGGTCTTTATTTTGCAGTAGCTCACAACTGCTGTTGTGTGGTTGGCCGAGACATTTGTCTCCATGTCAGGAAGCAGTAGAGTGTCCTCTTCATCTCTTGCTAGTTTAGAGTTCACAGACATAAAGAATTCAGACCCTTGAGTAGCTTCATGCACTGAGATCAAGTTCCCTGGCCTCTCTTCTGAGACTGAATTTAAATGAGTTCAAGTGTGTTCACCCATTGTTTTCCCATTGCCACACTGAGTCAGTGAGGTTACAGGTGTGCTGAGATGTCAGTGTCACTCAGAATCCCCCACTCAGAATCCTCTCAAGGTGGGAGTTTTGTAGTAGCTATTCAGAAAAGGATGGTGGGACCATAAAGCTAGTCCAGATCACTTCTATTTTTTCTTTTCAAATATTGCTACTACCTGTGTTAATGTCTCAGTAGTTCTTCATTTTAGTAGTACATGTGCAGTATGCTAAGAGTGTTGAAAGAAGGATGAAAGGTTTCAGAACTTGTTTCTGAAACAAGAAGAGTTATCTCCTTCAGCACTCCATAAAAAACCTTTTGATGTTCACTCATTAATCCTCCCATCTTCCAGGACTTCACATCCCAATACTTGCCTCATCACTCTGGATCATCTCTTTGACACAGATAGGTTTTCTTTAAATCTCTGGGATATGTTGGAGCTTCTAGGATTATCAAACTCCCGCAATAGGCTTCCAGCACAGCAGAAGTGCCCAGCTAGCCTGCAGCTAAAATCACACCAGGGTAACCCCTAATTCCATAAGAAGCCTCACTGATGTAGAAATCTTTGGGGTGAAAAAGCTTAGCAGTTCCTACCTTCTCCAGCATGTTATCTTTGACTGAAACAGAATCTTCTGTTACTGTTCCCCAGTACAACCAGTTTACACCAGTATGGATTAGTGCTGTACTGTAGAATCCATAGCACATTGTGACATATTTACATAATCACATATACAGCATGTTTCAAGTCATATTTGCAGACTCAGGTGCAGCCCAGGCATGGACTTGGGTGCTTGCCATGGTACCTGGGGCCTGCTTGCTCCTGAGTGTACCCATTTTCTTAGGAAGCTTCTGGGCACAGAAGCTTATGTCATTTCCTACAGAAGAACTTTGGATTTAAATGGGAAATTGTCATCTGATGCCACCTAAAGGGAGGGAGGAAGATTGGGTTTGAAAAAGCCCACATAGAATTTTCAGATCTCATACATGTTGGGCAAGGAGATGTTGGGGCAATCACAGAAGGTGTTTTATAAGACTCTCTCAGGGCAGATACCAGTGACTGGGGAGAGGATTTGGCCCCGACTGGGGGGAGGGGGGCAAGTGACTGCTTACAGCAATGGTAGACAAGGGAGAGCAATTTTAAGCTAAAAGAGAGGAGGCTTAGGTTAAACATTAGGAAGAAATTCTTTACAGTGAGGGTGGTGAAACCCTGGAACAGATTGTCCACAGAAATTGTGGGTGCCCCATCCCTGGAAATGTTCAAGACCAGGTTGGATGGAGCTCTGAGCAACCTGGTCCAGTGGAAGTGTTCCTGCCTATGGCAGGGTGGTTGGAACTAGATGGTCTTAAAGGTCCCTCCCCACCCAAACCATTCTGTGATTCTGTGGTTTATTCTCCCAAGAGAGAAAAAAAAATGCCTATGAAAGAAGTGAAGGACATTTCCCTTCATAGGCCTTTAGCTCCCTCTTCTGTGTTCCTATTAGAAACACAAGCAAAAATGTTAATTTGTGTTCTGCCTTTTGCCCTCCTCTCCCCCATCCCTCTGACTGTTTTTAAATGACAGTAGGCACGGAAATACTGTGCAAGTATAGCAAACACTCCCATTGTGATCAGGCTATTAATTGAGAGAATAAATTATTTCTGGCATCACAGGAAGTAACAGGGACCTGTGATCAAACCCCAAACCTTTTTTGATCTTTAAAATGCTTATCTACAAACACATACTAAGATTAAAATCAGTTTATTTAAAACCAGCTATTTTTGGCAAAGAAGTTTTTCATCTGTATATGAAGAATCAGCATGAGTGTTGTTGGAAATGCATCACGCTGTCTCTCAATTAAGCTGCAAATCATACAATTCCCATTTCATAATCCAGTTCTCAGTCAACAGATTGTCTAAAAATTGTCAATCACGGGTCCAAATGTATGTTCTTAAATTCATTACAACAAGCTTGTGTTTTTCTTTTCCTTCTCCAAGTATGTGAAGTACCTGCAGATTCTGTTCATTTCCTTTGGTTCCTGCACAATCAAGATGCTTGGTAGATGAAGTCTAAGTGTTGAGGGTAGGGCTGTCCCTGCATGGGACACAGAAAAAACTTCCACTCCCTAGGTTCTGAAGAATTGGGTTTGGTGGGCATCTGGCAAAATCCCTCTTTTCAGACATGACATATTAATGCTAACATGTATGTCTGAGATCAGACTGGTGGCTGTATGCCACCCCATGTTTCCCTGTATGGAGTACAAGAAGTGCAGAGTAAAGGAGGGAAAAGATGAAAGATCCCAGTTTGATAGGAGCAAGCCAAGACTCCATTGAGGCATGTTGGTTATCTTTGGAGACTTTTGCCTCTTCCAGTTTTTGAGCTACAGAGAACACATTTTAAATGACTAGAGATGAGCAGCTATACAGACTACCTGTGGGTTAAGGCATTTCATATTCTCAGCTTCCATGGATATAAGGGATAAAAACGGACCAAATACCACCTACCAGCAGGGACCATTGTTTCTAGACAGTGGATAAAATGTCTTGCTCTCCTTCACACCTTTTGGGCTTTGAGATCCCCTTAAAAGAAGCACTGGGAGGGTGATTATCTCTTATCCAATGGAGGCTTGCATGTGGTGTCTACCCTTGACCCCTACTTGACCTAGAGCTGCTTTCTCTTCTCCATGACTCCAAGGTCAACTGCTTGTGCAGTAACTTTGACAGTTCAGCTCTGTTAGATCTTTGCTACCAAGGGATCCTGAGGTTTCTTTGTGTGAGCACATGTGTGGGCTGGCTTCCATACAGAGGCTCTTCAAGATTTGTACTGAGCTTGAGAGTAAGTACACAGTATGATTAATAGATTTGGGGTAGTCTGAGATTTTCAGGTATTATAAAATACTGTGAAGCACAATCTTGTAGTTAAGCATTGTTTTTCATTCAAATGTGCAATTAGATATCCTTGCAGTTTACATGCTTTTCCATGGAGTAATTCTCTGTAAATTTTGTGATAGAAGTAGTGAGCAATTGTGTGTACTGGGTGTGCTAATAGTCTTCCCATAGTAAGTCTATCCAATTAAGAGAAGTATTTTAGTATTGCATGCTAAATTAATAGATGAATCTGAACTTTTTTCCCAGTGGGCTTTTATATTAATAACATATGGCAGATGCAAGAGGATTTCTGTTTGTGCATAGCAGAACATTCATCATCCTTAGAATATCCAGATTAGGACAAATGTGTAAGCTTTGTATTAGTTTAGATAACTGGTTTTATCTTACTGTTCTGTATACTAAGAAAAAAGAGTTACCCCCTCATTTGTGCTTCTAGATTCTCATGATGCTGTTTTAAGATTTAATTCTGCTCCAACACGTGGCTATGAAAAAGATGTTGGCAATAAAACAACCATGCGGATCATTAATTCTCAGGTAAGATCTTCCTTTTCAGAGTTCAAGTCAATGTCCCTCCTGTACAATAGGACAGGAAGTTAATAACCTGTAGTTATAATAACCTAAAGTGTTGGGTAATATGGGAAGCAGGTAGTGATTAAACAGTTGTGATGCAGAGAAGGTGAAAGCTTTCCCTTACAGGGATGTTAGCACTGCTGTCAGTGTGGAGTGGCTCGATAGCCTCGTTTCAGAGAACCAGTTGTTAAGTTTCTCCTGTGAACTAATCTGTAAAGGCTCTGCAGGATGCCAGAGAGCTGTCAGTACAGAAGACCTTGACCTCCTGGAGAAGCCATTGCCTCCAGAATTTTCATGGAGCTCAGGCTGTGGTGATTCCAAAGCTGTTTTCTCATATTTTCCAGTTCCCCAATTATTTCCTTGCTGGAAGGCAAAAGAAATGGGAACTGAGTTGTGTAACACTAGGCAAGTCATCATGGTTTAAAAATTTGGAAAGAACTAGTAAAAACTTTAGTGTGTACTGGGTATTACACATCAGGTGAGTTTGTTCATCTGAATGGAAACAAGAGAAAATGGGATTTTCTGTGTAAGGGTGTAAATAAATAATTGTGACTTGAGCTACAGTGACACCTTATGGTTGAGATTAGTTTTTCAAGTTCAAAAATGCTATTGCCTGAATTCCTGTCTTGGGCAAACCAAACCTCTTTGCTCTTTATGAAATGCAGAGAAAAATCAGCAAGAGAATTTCTGTGAAATTTTATGACACACTGAAATGAGTGTACTTAATCAACACCAGGAGTATGGTTGGCCATGTAGTATGCTCTGCACATATTGATTCTTGTTAAAGGATAGCAAAATTTTCAGTTACTGTAATTTTTTTGAGTTCATTTTTTCTTTTGCTTTGAGTGGCTGCCCATGTCTGTTCTTGGTGGGTGTGTTTTTTATGTGAATAAGTTCATGTTCTTTGCCATCAAAAAGAGGACTGTTCACTGTTGCTCCCTTTACATTCATTTTGGAGGTATTTGTGAGGCTGCAGAAAAGACTAGATCTTTGAAGTGATTTGGGTTAAATATGCCCCCTTTCTTTGTTTGCAAGAAGAAAGAAGAAATATCTTATTCTGCCTTAAGTGCTGTAATCAGTGTATCAGGGAACATGGATTTTCGTGTATTTTATTTTACTTTTTTTGGTTTTGTTGGTTTTTTTCCTTTTCTTTGATGATTCTCCATTTTACTGTTAGCCAAAATGTCCTGACATTGACCATGCCTGAACTCCTGAACTGGGCAAGGATAAAGGTTTAGAAACTCTTTATAGTTTGCTAGATTCAGTAGGCTTCCTGTAGAAGAGAGAAATGTTCTCAGGGAGTGATCTGAGCTTTTTAGCTCCCCAGCACATTCAGAGAGATTGTGGTTGAATTAGCTACTCCCCATGCAGGGCAGACTGGGGTCTCCTGGCTCCCAGAGCTGCTACAGTACATTCCCACTGGGATGGCAGTGGAAGGTCCCATGGTCTGCTGCCCTGTGTAAGGCTTGCTCCCCATAAGACCTCTCAAAAAAACAGAGAGCAAAGTTCTGCCCAGGTGAGCTCACATGGCTTCCTCACAAGTGTTTGTATTCCCACCAGCTTTGTGCTTCTCCAAAGAGGTTAAAAGCCATCCATGGTGGTCTGTCCACCTGGTGAGAAATCAGCCTTTCCCTCTCTGAGACTGAAATCTGCACAGGCCACTTGATGGAAGTTGCTTTCCCTACCTGTGCTGTAGCTGGGTTACCTGTACAGGTTTACTGACCCTCCTCCCCTCCTCACTGTTGGAAACTCCTGCATTCACTTAATTACAGGCTGCTATGGCTCTTTCTCCCTTCATATTCTCCACTTTGAACGCCCAAAGGACATGAAGGAAGCCTGTGCAGTGGCAGCAAGAACAGTATTAATAGATACTGTTATTGCAGCAAAAACTCATAGGTATGAATGCAGAATCACTGAAAGTGAAATTTGTGTGGACAGCACCTCCAGAGGACTCTTGCTTACTGAAAGGCAAGTAAGATCTCCTTTGTGTGGCAAGTGTGGAACCAAGCTTTTCAAATCTTGGCCTTTTGGTCAATTTGTTCAATTTTGTTCAATACTCAAAAAAGGTGTTTACATTCTGAGGTGAAAATTGTTCTGAGAAATTAAGTTGAGGATGCTGATAGCAGCATGACTAATTCTGTTCTTACTGTAGAGGGCTGATGGAAATCATTAAACTCAAAGTTTATGGTAGGAAGAATATTGCTATGGCAACAATATAATTTTTCTGAAGAAAAATATGCATAATTAAATATGGCTCATTGGATCCTAAAGGGAAATGAAAATTATTATGAATTTATTTGTCTGGAATGTTGATTATTTTAACAGCTGGAAGAAAATTCATGCTGTTTTGACCAATGCTGAACTGCTTGGCATTGGATGCACCAGGAATCAAAGAGTTCTATTTAGACATGGAGGGTTCTGGAAGGGGTGAGCCAGCAGGAGTGAAGAGTAGACTTCCACTGTGGTGGGATGTACTGGGAGATGCAGGAAGGAGTTATATGAGTGTAGTAGATTAGAGCAAAATAACAATTCCTTCAAAAATAGCCCTATAATATGTGTAACATGCCTGTTGTTGGAATTGTTTCTCTAGGTATTCCAATTTGTACAGTCATGGCCTAATTTGCATTTTTTTTATTGAAATGACTCTGATTTTCTGTTAAAATGAGAAAACCTTGAAAAAGTGGTTGGGGATGGGTGACAGAGAAAGACATTACCCTTGGGGGCTGTAGCCCTTCAAAGAAAGCTGCTCTGTGTCCAAGGGTATCTCACAGGTGATCTGAAATACTGTCTCATTTTCAAGTTCCAGAGTACACGGTAATGTTGATACACAGTAACACAGCATCCCAAGTGGTACCATCACATCCCTCACAGATGGAGAGTAATTCAGCATGCTGCTACTTCAGACTGTCATGAGTGCTGTTTATGGCTAAGCTTTTTTTGTATATTTTTTAACAAAACAAGATGCTTAAAATCAACCAGAACTGAAGCATAACAAACAGCAGCGTGGGTAGGACTGTTCACTTGAGAGAAGGATTTTGCCATTTTCCTGGATCCCACTTGCTTTTAATACTGTGGAATTCTTTGCATTTGTGTTTGCAGATTCTCACCAATCCCAACCATCACTTTGTCGACAGCTCCTTGTATAAAGATGTTATTTTAGTAGCCTGGGATCCTGCTCCCTACTCTGCAAATCTGAATGTGGTAAGATATCCGCTTAGACCTTTCTTCCCAATTACTTGAAAGTACTGGAGAAAATTAATTTACTACTTTAGTCTCCTGGTTCTCCCTTTTCACCATGAGCCTCAGGTTCTTTCTGTATCTGAGTGGAGAATGCTATGTCTATAGGAATTGGTCAAAATTGTTTTATTGGTCAAAAACTTTTTAGTACCCAGCAATTATACTGGAAGAGACTGTTCTGAGATGCTAGGATAGATGAATGGTGGCATTTGTTTGATAACACATTGCTATTTTCACATAACAGTGAGTTCTCTCTGTGTTTGCCAAGGAGGGAACATTGCTAGATTTCAGAAGTAGGTTTTATCAGGAAAGGTGAAAAACTGCATCAATTTTTCCCCATCTTCCCCTCTGCCTTCCCAGACAAAATACAACATCCTAGTGAAAATCTCTCTGGGTGCCTTCCCCGTTTCTCAGGCCTCCTCCCCACCAGCATTCCCTTTATGTCCACTGTCCCACAGCCATCTGTGCCCTGCCGTCCACCCCCTCACTGAGAGCAGCAGATGTCCATCTGCTTGTCACTGGGGGAGTCTCTACTTTGGCTGTTGCTGCAGCTCCAGCAGACAAGTTGATCTGATGGCTTTTGGCACAGGGAGCTCGGAGCTGAGCAGGCTGCAGAGTAGCAAGTAAACCTTCATCTGCTGAACTCCCTTAGCAACAGATGCCAGGGGCTGCCTGCTCCCACGCAGGCTGCCATCGGCCTGCGTCACGGTGCTGCTGCCTCCGTCAGGGACGGCACGCTTTCAGAGGAACATTCACCCCCAGGCCCAGATATCATGCCAAAGCTCTTTGAACCTCTTCTTTAATGTGGATCTGTGAGGGAAAAATGGTCTTGGCTCATCCCACAGCACTCAATTACTTATTGGGAGTTTCTGCATGAAGAGGAGAAACAAAATAGCCCAGAGTGAGGAATGCCTTTCTAGCAGAAGCATCCACCAGTGCAGGCTGCTTTGCTACCTTTGCTTCTGTTCTGCAGAACCCAAATGACACCAGTTTATGGTATTGTACATGTAGTGTTCAAAACATGTTTCTTACTATTAAAAAACATGTGACTTTTTTCCTCCCAGTGGTATAAGAAGCCAGACTACAATCTGTTCACTCCCTACGTACAGCATCGCAGGAAGAATCCAACCCAGCCATTCTACATCCTCCATCCAAAGTTTATATGGCAGCTCTGGGACATCATTCAGGAGAACACTAAAGAGAAGATACAGCCCAACCCTCCTTCTTCAGGGTTTATTGGTAGGTGTACCAAAGATGGTCCCAGTAGACATGTTAGATTAAAAAAATAATTTCAAACGTATACATTGCATGAGGATCAAGTCCATAAATGTGTACTGTGTGCTCTATACAGAATCAGTGACTAAAAAAAACACACAGCATGAGAACTAGAAAATAGCTGAGTGAATTTGATGTTCTGCTTTCTTGCCCTTCACATCCATAGTATGTATACCATATCTATAAAACATGCATATATCTATGAGAAATTTGTATTATTCCATATTAATGTATATTTTGAGGACCTAGTCAATTCTGAAGTTCCTCATTGGGATCATAGAGCAGAGAATCCTCAGACAACAAATGAAAGCAGATGGCAGATCATGTAGACAGGATGAAATCAATGGCAGGCTGAGCTGTATTCCCTACATAGGCCAAGGGCTTCTAGTGCTCAGTCTGAGCACTTCTTCACTGGAAGCAATAGAATTTCACTGTATTTTTTTGGTCTTTCCTTAGTATTTCTGAGGGCACACTTTGGCACTCTGCCCACAGCAGGTCCTGAGTGTGGACAGGTCTAAAGGATGCAAGTAGGCAGAGTGGCAAGGCTGAGTCAGGGTCATCCTGGCTTATGCTTCTAGACTCAGAGGGCAGTAGAGCTTCAAATACCATCTTCTGCTTTGGAAACTCCATCCTTTCCTCACTGACATTGTGATATTGATCTAGGTATTTGCTGCAGTCAGAAAATGGTTTGGTTTTTTTCTTTGTATTTGAATCTGAAAGCAAAGACACCTGAGATTGCATCTGATATGGGAAAACCAGTTTTGAACATTTATCTTGGGTTCTGTATGCAGTAGTGGCTTCCTAGGTCACCTTGGAGCACACCAAAGGCCTTAGAGAGGGTGCAGAAGCTCCCAGAGGGAGAATACAAAGGTTTCTGGGAGATGCTCATCTTTGCCTTGAGTGGGTTGTGCACACTTGGAACATGAGTGGAAGGTAAAGAAGGCCTGGTGTGTTGTTGGAGGGAGCCTTGGCTGTTGGTTACTTCTTGAAGTGAAGTTTTTTTGGAACCTGCTTGTAAAAATTCACAGGGAGAAGACAGTTCATGTGAAATGATCTCACCAGCTGCATTTTGCAAAAGTGTTTCTTGTAGCAATGAAGCTGTTGATAAAAATAGGTTAACAGCTGCTGATTGTAAGAATATTGAAGAGGATCATTGTGCTGTCAATCTGTACTTCCACCATACATAAAAAACACTTTAAAAGCTTTCTTTGAAGAAATGGAAATAATTTCACTATGAGACTAGAGCAGCAATCTTCAATCCCAAATCTAAATGTTAGTTACAAAAAATATCCTTCAAGCAGAGAAAGCTTTGAAAATATAAACTATTAAACAAGCAAAATTTTAACAACAAAAGCTGTACAGATAAATATACTCTGTGTGCAGATGCAAATTTTCCTTCTTCTCTAGTGGGAATTTTATTTATATTGTTCTTTTCCAAGGAACAGTGCTTTTTGGTAGGCTGTTACTAATTTTAAAGAACCAAGGTATTAAGATGAACTTATTGGATGTCATATCCACCCCATTTCATAACCAGCTACTGTTCTGATAGATGTATTTTACATATTTTATTAGGGACAGTCTTCCTGTTTTGATAACCTTATCGCATTAATGTCCATGTATTGCACATGTAACATAATCTAAATACAGAGGTAGCACAGAAAGAGCAAATGCATATTGTCAGGGACAAAAAGGGTAAGATAAAGCATAAAAAAATACAATGCAGCTTGGCAGAAAGCTGAAAAGTCATGTTGGTCTTCAGTTCAGGTATCTTAATCACTCATGCAGCAAATAATCCTGTTGGAACTGAAGCTGGCAGACACAACTAGTGTACCTGTATGAAAGAGGAATGCTGAATATTGAGCTTCTACCTGATCTTACAAAATATACAAAATTATTTCCTATAGAATTAGTAGAAAGATTGAGTAAGTGATGGCCTTCATAAAATATGAGTGTCTTAATTTCAAGAAGAGAAAATAATTTATTAAATTACCACACTACTAAATGCCACTGTACTTAAAACAGCTATATGAAGGAAATAGACTGTTGTTAAATAGGGGGTATGAATTTTTACAGAGATATACATTCCTGAATCTGAGCAATTTCTAGCAAGGACTATGATGATTTTAATCATATAGAAAAGGTTACAAAAATGCTTCTGAGTCAAGTGAAGCACTTTTGTTCCAAGCTTTTTAGCTTCTATTAGGCCCAATTTACAAAATTGGACAAATGTATGAATTAAAACATGGAAACATCAGAATGTTTCTTTTCACAAATGTCAAGAATGTTTTAGCATGGTCTTACACTGTTTCTTCAGTAATTACAATTGTAATTATTCCTGCTGCTTAGCACTATATATAAGAAACTGAATCTTGCCAAAGGGAGGATGTTGGTGGAATGTGTCCTCAAGGTGTTCTTCTGCAGCAATGAGTCAGCATCCTTCCACAGTGACTTATGTCAGGGGAATCTTTTAACGTCGTTAATAAAGGTATTGCAGTACTTAAGTCACAATATTATTAAATCTCTCAGAAAGGGAGCCAGTGGGGAAGAGGTAGTCTCTCACGTGCTTTGATTTTAGAGGAATGAGAGAGAGAGAAGAGGTAGAACTTCTCCCCTGTTTTTTCACTCCATGGGAGCTAGGGAAAATAATGGTTTTTGCACTTCCTTTGGGTATGGGCTGCCCTGTATCTGCATAAATTCTGCCTGGACCCCCTGCCTCCCTCAAACCCTGCTAGGTCAGCTCTGCACCAGCTCAGTGTTGCTGAGGAGAGGCAGCAGCATTTGATAGCTGGTGGCTGGGTGAGGGAAGCACAGGGCATGTCCCTGCTGTGGAGGGGAAATGAGAGGATGGGAAGAGCAGGATTGGTTGGGGAGATGGTTTGTGGGTGAAGGTCCAACAGGGTAAACCAACCTTTTGATTTTAATCTGGGAGTCTCTTTTGGTTTGTTTCCTGAGACACCAGCATGGACTTTAGCTGGCTTACAACTTTGCCTTATGTCACATGTCATAGCTTAGCTAATGCCACTCCTCACAATAAACCATTTCTTTGTCTTCCTAGTCTAATCCTTATAAGAGCTTTGAGAAGTCATTCCTTCATATTTTTGCATTGCTTTTGCAGCTGCTGCCTTCACGCTTCTAAACAAATTTCTGCACAGTATTCTCATAATCTTGCATTAGCATTAGGCAATTGCCGTGGTGGCTTTTCACAGTTAAAGTTGTTGGTTCACATTTGGCTGAAAATTAGTTTGCTAAATGAGTATTAATATGTTTACATCTCATCTTGGACTTGGATCTATGCCATTTTTCTCAGAAGATAGATAAGCTTCCAACCATCAAACCTCAAACTTGGATTCCACTGGCAAATCCTAAATTAACACTGTTACTAGGGAAGGATTTGCCCTACCTTTTGGCAAAAGAAGCAAGTCACCTCTCACTTCCTGTAAATAAGTCTTTCATTGTGAAATGGGAACTCAGTCTTCCTCCCTTCTTTCTGTACATATCAAAGCTCAGTTTTTAATTGAATCTGATAGTATATAAAGTGTCAGTCTCTACTGTTACCATTCTGCTGTAAGAACTGACTGTTCCTGTACCCTCTTTGGTAGCCAATGTAAACAGCTTTTTCTGACCTTAAATTTTTTGTCATCTGAAGACCAGGAGTAAAACTGCAGTTTCCAAAGAACAGCATTCTGTGCTCATTGGATGGGATGGTACATCAGCATTTGGAAATTCTGAGAGCTTTTTAATAATGTCGAGATCATATAAAGGCTTTTCTGTGCAGATTTTGCTCCTGTCCACTGTTTACTTAGTGGATTTTCTATAAATTCCTACTTACCATAGTCCATCAGTACACTTTCATGATTTACCTCTTCAGAGGTGACTTTAATTGAAATTCACATTTATGTACTGTTAGAGAGCAGTGACTTTTATCTTTTTAAAAGCTAGCTGAAAGCTGTAACTGCAGTATTTTGGTTTGTTTTCAATCAAAACATGACCTGTGTAGATTCTTACATTTTAGGTTGTCTCTGTAGGTGGTAGTTTTGATATGTGCTAGAAATTTTAGCATAACATACAGTCCACTGAACACAAAATAACTAAGCCCAGATAACTTTATTGTTGGGAGAAGGGAAATGTTGTTTGAGGCTTTACAGTTGACATTCCAGTTTTAACAGTTGTGCATCAGTAATAGTCGATAACATTATTTTAATCTTCATTTGCATGCAAGACAATAGTACAAGCAAGGCTATCATTGCACTGCAACATTAGGAGGTTGTTGTATGTCTAAGAACTTAAATTTAAAACAGCTCTGGAGAGCATGTTGCATAGCAGTATACAGCTGATCTCCAGCTCTGCCTAGGAAAAAAATGCACTTTCATGGACTGAAAGAAACAAATGGACGTATTAAGAGTTGCCTTTGTTGCTGTAATTCAGTTGCTTTAACAGCAGTTGGTGCAGGAACAGAATAGTGCTCACTCTTGCTAGCTCAGTGTTCAAGTATTAGCCCACAAATAATTAATACCTCCAATACACAAGCCTCAATTTATTCTTACTCTAATAAAAAGCACACTGAAATTTGACTATCTCCCACTTCTCAAAATGGAGACATAAAAGAGCAAACTCTCCTCTCAAATCACATTTAAAAATTTATTATTCTAGTGTATCACCCAAAATTAAACAATACATTTAGAATTACATTATATTACTGGTCAGTATTTTCCAGTCTATGCTCATATTACAGAATGTATTATTGTGATTAATGTAGAGCTTTTTGCATTCACCAAGTAATAAACATGTAATTTTCAAGGTCTACTATGTAATGCTAGTATCTATACATCAAAGATGACAAGTACTGCACAAATTATTAAGCTTAGGCACAGGGCCATTTGGTGACAATGCTTTGATAAATAATTTGTTTTTCTTGTGGTTTATATTTTTCACATAGTTCATGAACTAAACAGAGGTGAGAGAACCCTTTTAAAGAAACAAAGTGTTTTAAAAAGCCAGAGCTATTTTTACTGCATGTACCAAAGAATAACTGAGGCACATTTGGCCCAGTTTCAAGGAGTTTCCTGTGGTATCTGCAATCCAGTCAAGAGACACTATAGTAGTAGACTATCATATAGAAGATTATACCTTCTAAATGCTTTATGCTTATTTGTAATGCTTTCAAATACACCAACTTACTAGTATATACAGCCAAATTATTTTCTGTAACTGAATTTGCAATGTGTGTGAAATGATACATTATGGGAATGAATCAGATTATGTATATTTAAATGTTTTCAACATCTCTTTCATTATGTTATACTGATTCTGTGTTCATGATGAATGTTTGAGTTACACTTGTAATTCTAGATGCTTTCATACAGCATCTGTTGATTGAGATATATTAAACTATATTTTATTTATTTGTAAACTAGAAAACATTCTTTTTTAAATTAGAGTGCTAACCACAATGCTTAATTGTACCATACAATATTCACGTTGGAAAATCAAAACCTTTGGAATTATTCAAATTGCCAAGAACAAATTAAAAAAAACATTTTCTCCTTATGATTAGAATCCATAGAACATGTTCATTTGTAAAAACCACCCATGCAAGGAATTTAATCTTCATATAATTCTGGTTTAAATATCCTCAGTGCAGATTGTAAAAGCTACATTTATTTGTGCCATTTGGACTGAGTTTAAACTATACCAAACACTTCCTAACACTAAGGGTATCTTCCAAATAGGAAAAAATAAAATTACTACACTACAGTTGATCTTAACCAAAATGCCAAGAAGGAGATAACACACTTTTTTAAGAATTTTGAAATACTAATATATAATATTTCAAAATCCGTAATACCGGTTTAGCACCTACAGTTGCACTGTTGTAGCAAAGTTGCATTTGACTGTTTCTCTGACAACCACATCATTTCTTTGGAATAATAAATTTTATAGTATTTCTAAAAGAGTATTCTATGCTCACAATTTTTTTTTTTCCTTTCTTTTTTTAAAATGTTCAGTTGGGTGTTCATGAACATTGCCATTCAATTATAAAACATTCACAAAGCACACCTTTGAATGTTCTACCACAAAACAGGCAGAATTATTTTGCATTTTTCCATTTTTACAATTGTAATCCAAATGGGACTTTGAAAAATCAAGCAAGGGTATTAGAATTAGATTAGAGTGGCCTATGCAGAATTATCTTCAGTTGTGATTTTGAATGTCTGGTAGCACCAGTTATGTTTGCCAAAACTAAAATCAGGCTGGATACCCTGACCTTTTCATTAATGTGAAACATGGCTTGGATATTTAAGATCTAAAAAGCTTTTTTATATTTAGATGCTATAGACAGCCTATAGGCTTTCCCTTTCAGGTTTTGCATTTTCTCAAGTTGTGCATGTCTACTAGCCTTCCCTAAATACTTTTTAATTCTCTGTTTTTACTCCTATTCCCGTACCTTAGTATTTATGAGTGGTGGAAAAAAACCCCCACATCTCCCATCAGCTTAATCCTTGCACATAAATTTGCTGTATCGGTATGGTCCATGTCTGGGTCAGTCAGAGAGAAGGATTTATGCTTCCTGACTTCAGCTGGTTCCAGTGCAGGTCTGTATTTGTGTTAGTCACCCTCAGAATTATTAAAGCAAAAAATAGGTACCTCTTAAATATTACTGTGATATTGAGGACAACATAATTGTCCTCAACATGTGAAATTTTCATCCCATACTGGGAGTGCAGCTATCCATACTGCTGCTCAGGCTTCTCCTACAGCCAACAGAAAAAAACCAGGAGCTTCTGGGGAATGGCTTGTATGATCCATTAGACATGCACTGCTTCCTAAAAGTGCCCACTTTCTTGTGCTGACAGCAAGGGAGCCTGTGATACTGCACCAGGGGCACATTTGATCATGCCTTGTTTTTATTTCTTCTCATTGTGCTTCTGGAAAAGAAGCACAAAAGATTATATTATTTTTCATTATGCTCTACTTACACAGGAGAGTAGAGGAGAAGGTTCTTGATTGCCAAGTACCAGACTCTTATTTTTGGTTTCAAGTCAGTGGAGAGAAACAACACTAAAAGGACAGTTCTCTATAAGTGAACAATTCAACACATCCTAAAGGAGATATCTGAAATAAGTCAGATGAGTTTTGCCCTGTCCTCCTGCATTGTCTGTAAAGAATGCTTTAAACCAGCAAGGTCAGAGATGGGCATGCACAACTCAGTAAGACTAATTCTGTCCAGACTCTGTATTGTGTTGGGACAATGACTGTCCCATCCTGTTTATTAATAGCTCCTTAGGTCACATGTAAGACAGTCTGTGCTGTTTTATATATATAATAATTGTGCATTGACCTGAAAATTGTTTTAAGGACTGTTAGCAAAGACAAATATTGAAGTGTATCATATGGCAATTCTTCACCTTACAGGCTATCAAACAATGAGGTTTTCATTCATACTGATAATCCTGGAGGAGTGTTGAGATATGGAACAAAGTCAATGCAGATGATGTTGAATTGGGCAGTGATGTGAAAAGTACACAGACAAAAGAAATAAGTGTAAAGACATACTCAGAGGACAGTGCAGGGACAGGACATAAACAAGGCACACTTTGGCACTACAGGTGTGGGAGAAAATGCCAAGAAATTCAGCCACAAAAGAGAAACTTAGAAAGCAGTAATACCGACAGAAATGTGTAAAGATAACAATTGGGAAGCAACTTTGGACTTCTCAGAATAGAGAGGCAAGCAAAATGAATTAATGAAACCAAGATTAAGTCTGAAAGCAGTTAGGTGCATTCCTCTTCTTTAGCTTTGAGACTGCAACCAAAACAATAAAGTTCAAACACAATGTAAAAAATATTTTGGGGGTCATGTAACTGGCACAAAGCAATTGGTGATTTAAAAAATGTATATCCCTGAAACTAAATGGAGGAGAGAAGGGAAGGTAGATGAAAATATAGACAGCTTGGCACACTTATATCTGCTGGATAAAGATGCCAGTAGCCCCCTGCAATGTTAAAACTAAGCAAAAGGAGGAATGGAGTTAAAGAGTGGTATGAAAAAGTATGGGATGGAATGTGAGACCTGTAGTCCAGGGAGCTTTGTTGGCAGTGCTGTTTTAGGGACTTAGGAAAAACAAACTAGACACATGGCATTAGAAAAAACATGGAATAAAACCTGAATATATCTTAGTATATGGGCTGATGTAAATGTCTTAGTGGTCTATATTGCTGCTATTCTTTTAAAGATGCTTAATTAACATTTTTTGTAAACTGAGTTTGCAGTAATGGCTCTACAATACTAGGGCTGTCCCCTGTGGAGGGGTTTCGCATACTCCAAGGCATGAGACAGAAATGAAACCATTTCTTCTCTTATTTTACAGACAACTGTATTTGTACAAAAAAGATGGCTTCCTTTCCAAAGAGAACCTTTTTTTTAAATTCTTCCTTCTCCATCCCCTTGTTTTCTTGTTTTTTGGTTTTTTTTTTTTTTTTTTTGAATGCAGTGCAGAACAGCAGAAGCAGATCATTTCAAGGGGGAATCTGGGGGCTCTGCCAGCTAAGTAGAGGGCCCTACCTCCTCAGGTTCATGTGTTATCCTGCATCTCACCCACAGATGGTTTCGATGGAAGTCCTGGTTGTACCACACTGTGGGTCCCGTGGGCTGGAGGTCTGTAGTGTTAGAGGTGCTAAAGGTAGAACAGCCTGGCACTGACCATTGTTTTTGCCCAGACTAGGGTTTGAACATTTGACATGTACACAAGGCCTGGAGGAAGTGCCAGGAGTGCTCCTGATTCCACCAGGACAGATAAGCCTCTAGCACAGGGACAGTTCTGTGTGTGCTAATCTCTACTAGATGTTCTAGCTCATCTTTCAGACTTCAACACAAGAATGTGCTATAACTTAGTGGTTACCACTCAAAAATAGTCTGCCAAGTCAATGTCTTTCCTCCTGCAAAACATCACTGTCCAGCCTGAGCAAAAATGTAAGTAGAAGCTATGGTCATTTATAAACAACCTAGACTGAGGTCCCAGGACATGGTCTGGATGGAACCAGGCAGGAAAAATAAGGAGCTAAATTAGATAGCCCAGCGTGCCTTTTTGGTTGATTCTGGAGCACACTGAACCACTGATGACTAGAAGGTAAAACTCTACCACTTCTTAGTCCTCCATTAACTAATTTACAGGAAAGTCAATGATACTGCTTAAAATTTTCTCATGGTTGAACCATATCTGGAGCAAAGTGGCTAATTTTCTGTTATTAAGGAGTCACAATTTTTGTTCTTGACAGTTTTTCAATCCCACAAATGGCAACTTCCTTTATTACTTGTAGAGCTAGCTTGGTAATGTGGCAGTGAAATAATAAAACAGACTTTGGTTAAGGCTGTATTTCCCATCAGAGCCAGTTTTTCTAAGATGTTGGTGGTATAGCTTTTGAAGTTGTCTCTGGGCACAGGACAGAAGTCATTTTACTGTCTGTTTCTGGATGTGGTTCATTATTGCACATGTTTCCACCGTCCGCCCGCTGATCCAGCTGGATAACGGTTACCTTGGAATGGTAGGTGGGCTCTCCATCAGTGGAGGAAGGAGGCTGGCAGTGGAAAAGCTGGCGAAAGCATTTGTAAAACTAAAACAACAAAAAAACCAAACAATTCTAGATATAGCTGCTTGGCAGGTCACAGTTCAGAGCATCTCTATAACATCTTCAATGCAAGGAAACTTGGTTTATTAAGATTGTACTTTTTTTTCAAATAGGGATTAAATATTTTTTCACCATGAATATGTGTTTCTTGCTGCTTAAGACTAAAGTACACTCAAATTTGAGAACTTCAGAATCTATATGCTTAATTTTTCTTACACTGTAGATTCTGTAGAGTGTAAAGCTGTAGAACAATTATAAAATATTTTCAGAACCTTTAATTTATGCTAAAATACTTAATCACAGAAGTAATTGGTTTTCAGTTACTTCACACATCAGGCAGGGAAAAGTCATTTTGATAATCTAATGATACACAGCGGGGAGAACATAGGGTTCTTTTCATTAGGAAACATTGAAATCCCTCCATTCCCAAACTGTAAAGTGAACTTCAGAAAATGGCTTTGCTTAATTAAGAAACAAAATTAATTTTTTATGTTTATTCATTTCACTTCTGAGATCTACCCAAAACACCTTTGATGATGCCAAAGCTGTTGTGCAGGAAAAAGCCCCAAACAACAGTTACATTAATTCTCATCTGTAAGTGCCAAGTGAGCAGAGTTACACACCTACCTCCCCTGAGAGCTGACAGTCCTATTCCACAGATAGGGATACCAGTAATGCTACAAGTGCCTCAATACATTTTCTACACAAATTTATTTTCTAAGTGAAAAAAAAATAAATAATGGCGTCCAAAACTTACTTCATGTCACTTTCCTTTTGCATGGCTTTATGAAACAGAAAAATCTTCCAGGAGCTGTGATTGATGTGAAAGTATTGTAGTTTAGGCAATGTTGTTGATCATTATCTGGTACTAGTCCATCTGAAAATGTGCAGCTGCAACAGCAATATTTCTCTTGTTTCAAGGGTATAAAGACCACAATTGAATGGTGCTGATGATAGTGTGCCATTGGCATGTGGCAGGAAAAATGGGTTGGCATTTTGTGGATTTCTCCTTGCTGAGCAAGGAAGTGGTGAGGGGCTTTTCCTTATGACAGCACTGCTTTAAGTAGGAATTCATCTCTGGTGTCTCTCCATGAGACTTGCCTGAAGCTGTAGGCTTCTGTGCCACCACTTCACGGGTGATGTTTCTTTATATGCCCTTCTGCATGTGTTGCTGCTTAGAGAGAAGCAAGTGGATGGGAAAAGTGGAATTGGTTCAATTTCAGACTAAGAAAGACCAACATTGCAATAAGGTGGAGATCTTTCAAGGATTCTTGTGAGGAATGTTTTGTGGACAGTCTATACAGTAAATCAGGGGAGGTGGGAAAGAGCAGTCTTCTCACTCGGGAGGCTGATGGTGATATGCAAGTTCTTTACAGGCTTTTCCACTCTTTCTTTATGACTGTTACCCTACCCTGTTGACTCTACAGGGATCACAATCTTTATGTATCAGGGACAAGTGAAAGCTACTCAAATAAAAGGAACGATTGCTTCACTTAATGATTTTACAGAATGCTTAAGATGTGTGACAGCGAAGAAAAGAAGGAAAGAAGGAACGAAAAAATAGATTGGATGACTGCAGGGAAATTTCTGCGAGAAAAGTGAAAGCTGGTGTTCACTTTTGTTTTCACTTCTTGTTGCAGGTATCCTCATCATGATGTCCATGTGTAATGAAGTGCACGTGTACGAGTACATCCCTTCAGTGCGACAGACCGACCTGTGCCACTACCATGAACTCTACTACGATGCAGCTTGCACCTTAGGGGCCTACCATCCACTGCTCTATGAGAAGCTCCTGGTGCAGAGGATGAACAAAGGTTTGCAGGATGATCTGTATCGGAAGGGGAAAGTCATTTTGCCAGGGTTCAAAGCTGTCAAGTGCCCCAAACGAAATCATTTCCCACACTTGTAGAAGTAAGTCTTTCAGAAACAATGTGCAATAAAGGTACTACTGTCGTACTATAAACAAGAAGAGAATACTTGAAAAAATGTATCTTAGACCAATCTAGTCTTGAGTCTATAAATTGTAATTAAGTAGCAGGCATGAGAAATACTTCTTTTCTGAGCCTGAGTATTTATTACTGCTTTGCAAATAGTTACAGAAAAAAAGCAAAAGCTTAGTTCATGAAGGTGCAAAGGACATACTTAGGCAGAAATATAATGTATCATTGTTGGTGTGACTGTCAGAATTTGTCGGTGGTCTCATGCCACATATGCTAGACTGTAAGTTTTTTTAAATGAATTTATTTAACTGTCAAACCTGGCATTGTGAAACAGCCTCCGTTGTTCATGTATGTACAGAGTGGCCAGTTGAATAATGCAGCATTTCCTGTGACTCCATGGGATTTTCACACTGTCCCAGAATGAAGTAATTGCTACTCCAAGCTGTGCAGTCGTTCACTAGCGCAGACTTTAATGCCTGTTCCTACACAGGCTCAATTCCAGGCTTCCAACTGAACAGGGGTTTAGGGTTGCCCTGAAGTGTTTGCAGTCAGAGATGGCTGTACGCAGCTAAACCAGTTAAACTACTGGATGTGGTTTTGGATGCCACTCTCCCATGCTCACACTGACTGAAGAGGGAAGAGAGAAACCATTTCTTTAGAGAAAAAAGAATATATTTGTAACCCAATTAGGAAGAAAAACTCTCCCTGAAAGGACTATCAGGAAGGTGTGAGATGGAAATGGTGCCTTCCACCAGTCTGCACAGATACAAAAGATGCAAAGAAAGCCAAGGGAGGCTGTGCAGCATTCACCCATTACACTGAAAAGCAAGCATAGAGGGGCTCACCACTTGTCAACAAAGATAGCATTCAGGAATACAGACAGTATTTTTAGGTGTTTCATTGGTATCTGAATCAAAGTCACTTGTTCACAAGTTCTTGCTGTTCAGAAAGGAGAAGTTTTCTGACAAAAGAAGATATCAGCATTTTTTACTTAATGCTTGAAAGACTATAACCCAGAAAAGCTGTAATGCCTGCAAAAAAACCTGACAACAGATTGCATATGGAGATGGTTTGATATTTTCATTCATAACACACAAGGACAATATTCCTTAAGACAATTCTAAAAGTTGATGGTCTGCAGTGGATTTCTCTCTTTTTTGGTATGGTTTGGTTTTTTTCCCACCTGACTGTACATTTTCTTTTAGAGTAAGTTCAGCAGGAATATGTGTACACAAAAGCACAGGTATATCCTACTCATGTCCTTCCAGTAAAAAAGCAGACAGCTGAAAGGGGCATTGAAAAGAATAGCTGACTGGTTGTGGTGGAAAGTGTTTTTTGTGTTTTGATTTAAGCAAAAAGCCTTTTGCCAGAAAGGCAAAGAAAAGTAAACAACATTAATGACTATTTCACCTTCAACTGTAATGTAAGGATAATCATAAAATCCTTTTTCTCTTGCTCAGCTCTTTGGGAAGCAGTATTGAAAGGATCTTTTGGAAGGATTATTTTCCTTCCTCAAAATGAAGAATAAATTTCTTACATAGGACTTAATCTTCTTTTTGGGCTTTATGATGATCTTAAGATTCTTCTTGTTGACAGAAATCATGTAGATGATCTAATAACTGTACTTCTGTGTTGTATGGAAAGTTATGTCCATAAGGCATTTTGGTACATATCAAAATTAATAAGTTTTACTCATACTGGGCTTGGACTCTGGATGTATTACATACCAATTTCTTTTTAATGTTATGTGTGGTGGCAACTTTTATTCTTGAAGTTAATAACATTCTTATTTAAATGCATGGATGATAGCCTACACAGAACTAATCTATTTTTCCATATGTTTCATACCCTGTTTGCAAGCATAAGCAGTCTCAACAGTGCAATTAAATATGTCTCTCTCTGCTGTACCCTGGGTTAGCTATGACATAACTGTAAAGGAAGAGAATTCAGCTTTCTAAGACTAGTGAAGATGCTACTTTTCAATATGCAGGAACTTGTAGAGTTCCAAAAAGAAAAAAAAAATCACTTTGACTGGCCTGCAACCACTAACTTTTAATTTCGATTTTCACAAAGAAGAAAATACTAACTGCATTGCTCAACCACTCACAGCAGGATTATGTAGTATTATTTATTCTCTCCATAATTTTTCAGAATAATCAACATAACTGTAGCTTACACAGAACAAGGCAAATTACAATGTTTCATGTAACAAGTGCTAAGCGTACCTACTCAGTACATCATTTATATATATACCAATGCAGAACCAGGTCCGAGATGTTATATAATGAACTGTATGTTTTTTAATTTACTGGACTGCACACTCAAGCCCTTGCAGCCAAAATTTTTTCTTTGCCATATCCTTTTTATGGCAGTCAGTCCTCCTTCCATAAGTGCAAATGCAGTTGTTGTAGCACCATCACCGCAGAAGATGCTGCAGAGCTGTGCTGCAAACGTTTGCTCACAGAGGAGGAAGACTAACCTGTGATGCCACCTTTAAAAAATGAGCCTGGAATGGCTTTCTAACACTGGTATCCACTGTGATGTTTTACTGGTCTGCCTGCTCAAACACACTGTGGTTGTTTAAAGAGCATTTTCTCTCCTACCTTGTCTTGTCCTCCTTCAGATTCTGGCACAAGTGCGAGTGTGTTTGATCTGCTAATTGAGGGCTCCCCTCCACTTGCTGCAAGGGGGGAAGGGGCAGAAATAAAGGGGAAACATAGAGGACCTGCAAAGGTGCTCCTCTCACCTCTTCTTACTCTCTGTGGCACTGGCATTCTGGCTTTCATAAGAGCCCTCAGAGTGTTTTTGAATTCATGGGCATTTCCCCGTCCCTTGTGAGGGCTGAGAAATGTTCGCAAAGAACTGCATTCAGTAAATTTAAAACAGTCAATGTGTAACAACACTGAACCACAGCTCTTCTAAAAATAATGGGTGAGAGTGCTGGGTTTAGATGCATGTTAAATGCAGCAATGTGAAAGGAAGTGTATTTTTTCACCAAGATCATGGGACTTTTTGGGGAAAAGATACAGGCATGGCTTCATAGCTCTCCCCTGTGGCTGTCCCACACTAAGAGAGTGGGACAGCACCTAGACAAAAAAGGTTTGCACAAACCTGGTGCATCTCAAGGTGCATCATCAGCCAAGCAATTGCCTCTGCTATTGGGTCCCTTTGCACTTGTAGGCTTTAAATTTATGGAATTTTACTGACAAGTAGGAACAAGTTGCCTTCAAACACTATCGAGCCTCATTTCTGTGCCCTGGTGCTGTGGACAACAGTTAAAGTTAACTGGAACAAACCAGAAACACAGAAGCAGTTTAAGGAAATGCACTGAGTTTATGCTGAATTTAATTATGCTCTTCTTTCCCCACTGTGAATTCTATAACTTTTCTGACTTGCGGTGCTCTATTATTTTATGCATTCAGTTTTGGATGGTTAAATCAAGGTATTCTTTTGTTTAATCAAGAAAAAATTATGAAATATTTTGCCTCATTTTGAGCCAAAATCTTTTTACTAGAAAAAAAAAATCATTATTTTGTTCCATTCCTCTACAGTTTTAAAGGTTACCTCAGCATAAACTCAAAGCTCAGTCCATCCTTGGATGAAACTACTACATCTTTTTTTACCTTGTTGTGCAATTTTATGCTGTAGAAACTCTGGTAAATTCAGTGAAATCACCATGATGTACCTTTGGAGAGAGAGAGGGGTGATAGAAACACTCTAATATATTCTGTACAAATTTAATTTAAGCATTTCTTGTCTTTGGTAAAGACATTTTCTTTCGTGAAGACATCCGAATTCTGAACTTGTTGCTGTAAATCTTGTGCCAAAGTCAGAAAAACCAAAAGAGTTGTTTTTTTTTTAAATGAAGACAAGTGTCTACACTCACTGGTTGCACAGACTGAGCACGGTCATTTTAGAGACTGATTGAATGGAACAGGAGTTCAAAACACATGTGGAGCAATCCCTAGTGGGGTTTTTCATTTCTTTTTACTTCAGAAGTTTTTAAGGATGGAAAATGCCATTTGGACAGTGACACAGATGTACTATGAAAGGAGTATTAAATGCATTGACTGCAACAATAAATGGTTACTATTTTCCCCTTCATCCTTTCTAAAGTTGATGCATATTTAAATGAAATCCTGCTTTGAAGTAGGCAATTCAGAAGCCTGCTGTTAAAATGATTTGAATCTTTCCCAGCATCTGTCCTCTCACACACAAGGAGGATACCTGATTTAACTGTTTGAAATTAAAGTAGCCCATGTCAGGGGTACGTGAATCACTTAATGAATTTTGACAGTGCAGATGACTTCTCTCTGGCTTAGCAATCAGATTCAGAATTTTGTTCTTGAAATAAGAGTTGTGTGTAAAAGCCTTACTTTTTTCCATATCATCTCATCACTCTTAAAATATGTAGTCATTGAACTATTCAAATATAGACTGTGTACTTTTTTAATAGCTTTGAGAATTATTTTGTATGATGATTTTTTTAAATGAATGTGTACTCTAATAACAAACCTTAAGATTTTACAGGAGTCACATTTTTAAGCAGTGTTTGTATACATTTTAACACTTTTTATATTTTCTATTATGATTTTGTATATTTTTATGTATACACAGTGTACAGATTTTTTCCTGTAAATAAAACATTTGTTTTCATTTGTTTAGGAGTGCTGGTCTTTTCATATTGCCTTAAATGAATGACACTGAAATACAGGTGGAACAAAACAGGGAAGGTGCCTGTCAGTTCTGCCCACAATTTCAATGAGATCTCAAATGGAAATGGACAGCTAATCTGACAAGGAGATATCACAGTAAACTACAGAAAAGAGGCAAATATTGTAAAGCCAGTTTTATTCTAAAGTGAACATGTGTACCCGAGCAGATGTGCTAGGATTCCCTGGGACAATGTATTCACCATACTGCTCAGTCAATTTCTGAGCAGTAAATTTGTGGTGATTGTCAAGCAAGG